AAATATATCTTTATTGATTTCAGAGAGAGGGAAGGAGAGGGAGAGAGACAGAAACATCAATGGTGACAGAATCATTGATCAGTTGCCTCCTGCACACCCCCGACTGGGGATCGAGCCTGCAACCCGGGCATGTGCCCTGACCAGGAATCGAACCCCGATCGCCTGGATCCTAGGTCAATGCTCAACCACTGAGTCATGCCCAGTCAGGCCATCACCTTATATTTTCAAATTTACAATCAGTCCTCTATATAGACATTCTTTAATATTAGCCCAGAGTGAAGAAGGGACACTACCGAAAACAAAAACAAAACCAGAAAATTCTTTTAAATACTATAGTTATATACCTTAAGGCTTTTCTTTAATTTGTAAACATCTAACATATGGTAAGAGATGAAAAATATATTAATACCTTCTCAAAGAAATAATTATTATCATTTAAGTAAATTATATTTGTCTTAAATAGACCCAAAAGACTTTCAAATGTGAATTGGATTAATTACTCCAGCTGAGCCCTCCACCCCACTTGTGTAAATGATTCTTAGTTGTTTACTGTTATGTGTATTCCATTCTTTAAGAAACTATCCATAAAATGACATTCACTAAAATAGTAAGATTATTTTATTTAAATAAATATCTATTTTATTTTAAAATACTACAAAATTCCTTTTAATACTTTGTTTGAAATAAATAACTTTTGTAGGACCCTACTAATTTCATAATATCACTTTCTCGTGGCAGTGAGATGTTTGGAGACAGAGTGAAGTGAGAGTTTAATGAACACCAGCTGGTCTACGGAAGGGTATTCGACTTAAGAGAAATGCCTGGAACCTAGTAGTTACTGAATTTGTTTTTACTGACTCAACACACAAACTCAGAGTTTAATAGTTCAAACCTCAGCTCTACTACTATTCATGACGTGACTTTAGCTAAGTCCCTTAACCTCCATGAAACCAGTTTTATTACCAGTAAACTGGAGTTACATCTATTCTTGGATCAAATAAGGAAAGGAAAGCCAATTACGGGTTCCATAAAAAGTTCTTTCCTCAAGGGGACATACTTTTCGTATCAGTAGCTGCATACCTTTACCTCTTCCCATCCTTTTCATGAGCCTCGCACACAATTTATACTAGCAGAATTTGTCAAAAACAAAACCACAAAAAACTAAACACACACAAAAAAACTCTGTTAAAACCTCAACCCTGCCCGGCCGGGTGTGGCTCAGTGGTTAAGAGTCGACCTAGGATCCAGGCGATCAGGGTTCGATTCCCGGTCAGGGCACATGCCCGGGTTGCGGGCTCGATCAATGACTCTCTCATCATTGATGTTTCTATCTCTCTCTCTCCCTCTCCTTTCTTCTCTCTCAAATCAATAAAGATATATTTTTAAAAAAAACACCTCAATGCCTTACATACTGTGAAAAACTTCTTTCAGGCTAACTGCATTCTTTAAATTCTGGCTAAATGGCTAATAAAATAACTGTAAAAACAGCGATCCTGTACTGAACGTCTACCATGTATCTAGAACTACATTTGATGCTTTTAATACATAATAATTAATCTTCACAATTCAGCAAATTAGGTTGCCCCCCCTTTTTTTTAATCTTCACCCGAGGATATATATATTTTAATTGATTTTAGAGAGAGAGAGAGAAACATTGATCGCCTGGACATGCCCTGACTAGGAATTGAATCCGAGACCCTTTGGTGCACAGGACAACACTCCAACCAACTGAGCCACCCTGGCCAGGGTGGATTGCCCCTATTTTATAGATGAAAAAACACTAAGGGAAATTAAATAAATTGTTCAATATAAATAAAACCAAGTAATTGTTGAGGGACTCAAAATCCGGTCTAACTAACACAAACTACTAAATATTTTGCACTACTATACTTTGCCTAGTTTTCTCAAAAGACTGTCTTCATAAAGAAAATAGTTAATATATAAAATGTTTTCTGCTTTGTTAAGTCATAAAACATAAAATGTTTAAAAATATATATTTGCATATAAACATAAAACACTTGTTAATTTCTAGCTTCCTCCAAACTATAATATTACTAAGATTAATGCTCATCTTTAAGCTCTTTTATTCTAAATAATGATATGCACACAGACACTTTGAATTTAAAAGGTATTTGACTGTATTTGTCTCAGGAGCAAGAAGAAAGGCTTATATATTTTAGTTAGGCAAATAACTTCTGTCTTAAACTAATTTATCTTTCAAATGTATAACCTAACATACACATTACAGCTAGATGCATATTATAGCTAGATGCACATTATAGCTAGATTCATAATCTCAAAAAAAACTATTAATATTCTCAGAAAGCTCCATGATTTTTTAAATAAAAATAAATTAAAAAATACAGTTCTTAAAGCCAATTTATTTTGCATTTTTAAAGGTTATCAAGAAAAATAACAAACTGAGGAAATATTAAATGCCATAAAGCTCTAGTGAAGTCTTAATTTAACTAAAATAAAAATAACTACTGCCTGGCTGGAGTGGCTCAGTTGTATGAACATTGTCCTGTGCATGGAAAGGTTGCCAGTTTGATTCCCTGTCAGGGCACATACCTGGGTGGTGGGGTTCAATCTCTAGTCTGGGAGTGTCCTGAAGGCAACCAATCAATGTTTCCCTCTCACACTGATGTTCCCCCTCCCTCTCTCTTTCTCTCTCTCTCTCTTCTCTCCACCCTCCACCCTCTTTCTCTCTCTAGGCATGTCCTCAGGTGAAGATTAAAAAATAAACAAAAAACTACTATACATGTTTTACTTACTACTTAAAAATCATTTACAAAAATACTTTTTGCTTATTAAATATCCCATGCATGGATCCCCACGTTTAAGAGGGTTGCTTAATAGTATTCTTGATGTAAATAAATTTTGAGCAGAATTTCAAACATACATATGCAGACAAAACCATATACTATGTAGAAAGTATGAAAATATATTTCAAAATAAGTATAATGCTTGCATTACGTTTAGTTTGTGTATCATAATTAATGCTGTTCCTAATTTTATACTATCATATATTTCAACATAGGCTTTCAAAATATGTATATGCCTAAAAGAAAAGAACAATTCTTTAATGCTTTTAATGTAAATTGTTAGGTTTCTTTCAAAAAATTAATAATCCTAATAGGTATAAGAATGTCTATAAATATTTATTATAAGAATGCCTGTATTAATTTGATAGAAAAAATATTTTCATATTTAAATCCTCACTTACTTAATTACTAATGTTTTAAGTATTTTAAGGTATAGGTACTTACCTATACTTCTGCAAATTACCTACTCTCATCCTTTGAATATTGTTATATTGTGAGCTGAATATTCTTATTAATTTGCTTGAGTTATAGTCTGACTTTAAATGACTCAGTTGGATCTTTTAACTATTAAATTTTTTGATCATTCCTTATTTACTTAAGAATCTGAAAACTCTTGGAATTTAATCTTAATTATGATAGAAAGTAAGACTATAAAATGATTCCCCAACCCCAAAGACCATTTATTGAATAACCCATCAGTTTCTTCATTGATTCGTGAGGTCTCCTGTATTACTACATCCTTACATATGAGTTCCATTTTGCTTGAACTCTCTGTTCTATTGATCTGTCTATTTCTGTACAACTATTTCCAATCCACCGAAGTCACTGCTCTGCTAATCACACCATTTAGTCAGGACCTTCTCATGGCTGGAAATTGTATTGTCTCATATCACCAACTTAGCCATCCCGCTTTCTATCACCAGCACCCTCCTACTTGCTTTGCTTCCTTCCATCTTCCATCTGCTTTTAAGGTAATTTATTTTTCCCCCCAACTGAAGCATGATTTTCAGTCTTCAAGACTCTACTACTCTCTATACTTAGCTCTCACACCACCAGCTAATATTTCCTAGGATAATATTTCAATCACATTCATTAAACACATCTGTACTGCATGGCTGTGATTTTCTGGCAGTATGCTAGGCTCTAGAGAGAAAACAGACACAAGACAGAGAAGTTCCCTGACTTCTTGAGGCTGTCATTCTAGTAGGCAGACAGAACACAGAAAGCAATAATCATTTCAATTAAAAATCTAAATAAAAGGACTAGCCAGGAAGAGACCAAAATGCAGGACCTATTTTTTAGAGGGGAATTAAAAAACAAAAATTCACTGAGAAGACAGTACTTACAAAAAAAGACAGAAAAACAACAACAAAAAAACAGGATCGTGTTAGGAGAAAACATTCCAGGCAGAAGACATACAAAAACAAAGCTTTGCAGTTAGAAAGAGCCTGGCATGTTGCTCCCTCCGTCTTTGTATTAATTACACTCATATAACAAAACTTCAGTTCGGGGTGAAGACAAACTTTGCTTTGTGTGGAGAAAGTTACTTAAAAGGGCAGAGGGAAACCACTCTGTATTTAAGGGCACCAACTCGACTGAGCTGCATTGCTCTGGTCAGTTTGCTCTTTTACTGTCTGAAACTACAGGAAAGCAGTAGAGAATTCAAATACAAGACTGGTTACTAATCCAAGTGCATCTGTCAGGTTTCTTCTCAGCTTGAGAATTTCTGACTTAAAGATGATAGATACAGTCTATTGGGGAATCTCTATTCAATGTTTTAGTTTTGAATAGCCAATTACTAAATCCTTAAATACGTCTATGGATCTATATCCTTATGAAGGATATATAGCCTTACAGGCTCCATGCCTGCCATCAAGTTTGAAATGAACAGCTTTTAAACTCGACTAAAATGAATCAAAATGTACAGGGATCCTCTTTTCCATCTACACCCCAAGACAAAGTCAGACTGCAGGCTGCAAGCTCCAACCACGTCGGAGCGATCTGGATTCTCACCCACACTCTGGAGACTCAGTCACTCCGACGGTAGCGGAGGACAGCAGAAGTAGCATCGAGATTTTCCTCATGAACTTACCCCAGCCTACTCAAGGTAGTGGCACATAAAGCAGGCTTCCCCCTTCGCATAAGTCTCAATAAATTATATAAACAACTTATTTCATTTTTCTAAACTTACAGTCCGGTTTGTATATATTTGAAGAAAGCGGTGGTAACTTCTACAACCTCAAGCTGTGTCCCCATTACAGATATAAAAGTATATAATCATCTCCAAGTTTAGAAGGTAAGGGGTCTAATCATGATGTTTCAATTAATGTAAACTGAAGCACAGCTTTTACTTATACTGTTCATTGTCCTATTATAAGTGACATTCTTGAATAAACGTTAAAAAGATATCAGCTTCTAAAAATAGGCAGTGTGGGGGTGGGAGTGGGAGGGAGAGTTCATTTACCCTGATCCACCGCCTTGCCCTCCTCTAACACTTGAAAATGGGATTATTTCCTAAAGTCTTAAATGCAAGTTAACACTTAATTCATCAAAGTGGAAAACTTGAAAAGTTACTTTAAAGGGCCAGATTAGTTATATTTCTTATTGCAAAATAATAGAGAAATTCTTAATCAGTTAGAATCTACAAATAATTGCATTTGTGGCTATCAATCATTAGTAAGACTTCTACAATATCCTTGAATTACAGAAAAATGTGGACCTAATATATTACCTTCTTAAAAGAATATTAATTTTTTAATCTGTTCAATTTAGAACTTAAATATGTTTTGACCTAATGGCATTTAACTGTTTACTTTTAGGATTTTTTTTTTTTAAATAGAAACTTGGCGCTGCCTAAATACATCAATGACCCTGAAACACTATGTTTCTAAAGAAAGGTACTTTTATCAGTCTTATACCACAATTCCTAAGAAGCCAAGAATTACACTTTGTAAAGTATGTATTATGATGTTCTTTTTGTTTCAAACAATCCAAAATCCCATATTAGTAATACATAATTAAAGACACCCCCCCAAAACCCAGTTTTGTATATTTTAGTCACTTTTCCTAAATTTTCATTTTCTAACTCAATGAATTATTTATTAACAATTAAATAAAATTAAAATTATTTTGCTTTTAAAACATTTTTTTAATCCCATAGTTCTAGTTTCTTTTCTGTTCATCAATATCATGAAAATTTATTTTAAATACATAGCTAAATATATAGGTAATAAAAAAGTAAGAAAAACAATGATCCAATCTTAATAATTTCTTCCTTTTGTCATTTTCAAAACTTTAATAAGAAAATCTTACTATAAAAGCATACTACTGTAGTTTTCCCCTACAATTTTAGTTTAAAAAGTCACAAACCTAATACGACCATTCTCAAATTAAAAATATATTTAAAGTCAAGAGGAACATTTCCATTGTAACTCTATTAAAAATTCTGACAACTCATAATAGCAGAGGCAAATACAATTAGACAGTACTTTTACTTCCTAAAACAAACTACAACATACTGTATGTCTGTGTGAAGCATAAATATTAACATTTTATGCCCGTGGATGCACATCGAGTTACTTTATAGGTTCTATCAATTAATAATCCACAAAACTCCTTGGAATGCATGAAAATGAAGCAAATGACAAGAAAAACACCTTCTTACCTGGTATATATCAGAAAGACTGCTGCTTCCAGAATCACTAGTGATACTACATCCTGAGTGGCTGGAAGAAACGTGGGTCACCTGTGGGTGGAGACTATCAGTGAGGTGTAGTTTTGTGAAATCTGCAGGAAGCTATGGAAGGAGCAGGAAAAACTAGGTTACAATTTGAATCAAGAACTCCAAGAAGACATTTAAAAATTAGATTATACTCTACTCCACATTATTTAGTCAAATACATTATTAGAAAAGACTTTTCATTTTTCAAATTCAGAAATGACTAAAGATTGTCCTATTTACCAAAAATCACACAAAATTCTTTAAGTTTATGGGCATTCATTGAACCTCAAATTATACCAAATTCAATGTTTAAATAGGTAGGTTTGGTGGTTATGATGAACTTAGGTAACCGTTAATTCAATGAGCTAAAAATTTCAACTTACACACCAATGAGAAAATTAGTCTACTAGTACTTGTTAGACATTGCAAATGCAACTTTGTGACAACAGACAGCTTAAATAAGAAAACAGGCTTAAGGATTTTTATATCCCCAAATCATGTTTAAAGATTATTTTTAAAATGAGCATCTTAGAATTGATGAAGTGTGTTATCATACAAGTAACTGTGTTTACGTTCTATGGAGAAAACATAAAGAATGCTCTCAAAGAACTCAGAATTGAGAAAGTTATGGACAACACTTACGTATCTATACACAAATGTCAATTTTCTACTTGTCCATGCTTAAACCCTAAATAAACAGAACCTCTATTGAACAGGCTCGCTAAGCATCCCTCAAGTGCTTCCACCACACTCCCATGTAGCTGAGAAAATGCGTGAAAACAGAAACATTCATATGCTCGCTTAATGAGCAAGTATTTATTTAGTATTTATTACTATGTGCTAGTCAACGAATGAGATACTAAGAAAGTCCTACCCTTAAGCATTCTGTGCTCTAACAAGTGATTACCAATTCTTTTGAATTAACAAATATGCTCTCTATAATATCACACTTACAATACTACTGGCCAATAATACACATGGCATTTCAAAATCTATGCTGATAACATCATGCAATCCTGATATCATTCCCTTTCCTGTCTGCCTAGTGGTCCTAGTTAGCTGCTGAGTAATAATAAATATACAAACTAATTGTCAAAATAAAACTTATGAATTTACCTTAACAACATCCCCTCCTTTTCCTTTGATTTCATCCCTTCACCCCCCTAAAAAACCAGATAGATGCCACTCCATAGTTTAGAATAAGCGCCCCAAGGGAGGTGATTCAGGTTTAGGACAATGACCAGTGGGTTTTGACACCTCAAAGTCCCCAAACAAAGAGGCAAAATGTATTTACATCCACAATCATTCAGACCTGAACTCAATACGCAGATTATGATAGTAACATTTACTATAGTCTGTACAGCAGTATTTTTTAAGTTCATAAGACAAAGTATCCAAAAGAAAGATTTAAATATGAATTTACTGAGGAACATACGATGATAAGCCAAGTAAACGGATAAAAATACATACATTGGAGGAGCTCAGAGAAGGGAGATAATTCAAATGAGTGAATCATTACAAACATGAGGTATATCACCGAGTGTTTTAAAAATAAATAATTAAAGATGTAAAATGTTAAAGTTTAGGAGAATAACAATTCTCCTATAAGGAACAGAAAGGCAAATACCTCTAAATTAAGAATTTATATGTTTTATTCACAACGTGGGATAGTGAAATATTTGCAGGATGTCTTCAGAAACATTCAAAGACAGAAATTTGCGGAGATGCGTTAATGACTATGATTTTACACGTAGTTCAGCGATAAATTATCAGATCTTAAAATAATGTGTTCAAAGCCAGGATAAAAAGCCTTCATCATCCTGGCTACCTTTCCATTTAATCCAGTCACTCACCACAGAATGCAACTGGGGAAACATTACTCAGTGGCCCAGTGATTTTAAAAGGCATCAATCAATACGTGCAATTACAGAACATAAACTGATTTCTATTCATTGTCTTTTATAGACGTGACTCAGGTTGACACGTGCCATCTAGTATGATTTTAAAAAATTAACTTAAATATATCAAATGAAGATACAACTATCTAATAAATTTTTACTCACTAAACAATTACTTATTCAAGTCTCATAGGATTCTTCTGTTAAGTATCCATCAGACGGTCATCTTTCCTAACTAAGAATTCATTGTGTGAAAGGCAACAGGAATTATAAGAGCTCTAAATCTAATAGAGACATAGATTCAGCCTTTATATAGACCACAATCTATTCCTCTGTGCCTACTTGCAGCCACAATACCAGAATTATGTAGCTATGTTAAGCTAAGAACCGTAAAGACTGTTTAAAAGAAAAGAGTAAGTATTTTCACTGTTAAGACTTCAATTCTAATTTTATAAATACTTATTGAGAACCTGCTATGTCAGACACTTTGTTAAGAACATGGAACATCAACGTGCATAAGACAGTCCCAATTCTAAATTTAACTTCTACTATCCAAAAAATCATTGAAATAGGTGTTATGCACAAAAGAAAACTCAGTTTTTCAAAATATGGATTTCATCTCCCAATACCCCCTATGTTCTCTGCGGAAGAGCATGAAATAATGTTATATTAAACTTACAGTAAATAGATTCTAAGTTTAAGAAAGCTTAAAATGTTTTCCCATAGACTGGGATAACAGTATCATGATTAAATTTTATTGACAGTACACATCAGCCAAGATTATGGAATGGGAGAAATTTGGTAGTTGTTCCCTTATGGGAAAAAGAGTCTGAAGTGCACACTTGGTCCAGCCACAACGATCTAATAGGAGAGACTGAGCCTATCCACGCCAAGGGGAAATGGGTCCAAGAGACAAATGAACTGTACAGGGATTGGGAGTCAGGGGCAAACACCGGCACAAGCACCCATGTTTAAACCTAAGGGCAATAGGGTAACACAGAACCCCTAGGAAGACAGTAACTCGTGTTCTGAATAAAACATACCAAAAAAAGGGACACAGCATGCCAAAGACAAGATTTATCCCAAACTTTTCTAGGCTTGACGCAGTGCCTATTTAAATTACTATCAGTATGCTATCAAATTTCAGACTTTAAAATGGGGCTGTGAATTATCTGACTCTAGACACCATTTATAATAATAATTTTTTAAAAAAAATAGAATTTTTAAATACTGGTACTATATAACAATTACCTAAATAAAATTAAATAATTATATAATTAAAAGGAAAATCAACACATTTTATACGTTTTGATCTTAATGCCAATATATTTCACAGCAAAGAAATCTTATATTTTTCTTATTTAAATATTTTTATTTTAATATTTGATTATATGAATATATTACTGCTCAAACTTTTCCTGATAAAGTAACCTAATACAAAACTTGTGAATCACAACTGTAATAAACTACTGTTAGGCAAATGACTAAATTATAGTTTAACAATAAACACTACTAAGTGCATAACAAACAACAATGGTTATATTGAAATTAGATTCTTAAATGCATAAAGTTATCAAAAACGTAAAATTAATCATAGTTTTGTTAAATCTGGGTATTAATTATATAATATCTTGTTTTATTTTCTTTTTGGGGAGAAACAGGGATGCTATAACATTAACTTTAAACAAGAAGTAATACACAAACGACTTAATTCTCATATATGAACAGGCATTTGATAATCTTTGATTAATTAATTAATGATTGACATTTATAAAATTACTCACTAATAAATGAGCTCTATTTTGAACATAAATACAATGAGTGTGGATGCCTTGATGTTTCTGACACCACTAAGTAAATACTTTGTTGAATTGGTGAAATTCCTCAAAGTGGTGATAATGTAGCAGAGACTAGCGTAATAGCTGCCTTTTCTTCCCCCAAAGAACTTCTTTATGTTCATGTTTTCAATCTCAATGAGGAAGAGCCAGTATACTATTGGACATGTAATGGAAATGTGATAGTTTCATGTTCCACAATGCATTATTACCACATTGCTGAAAAATGCAAGTCAGAAAACAAACAAAACAAAAAACAAAAAAATACTGCCATCAGTTGAAATGTATTTAGCTGAAAATTCTCCCAACTAACCTTAGAATCACTTTATTTCAAGAAATAGTTACAACAGAACACACAAGGTTTGAGGTGATTGTTGGAATCTATCTAATCTTCCCTGGTAGTTAATACTGATTAACACTACCTAAGGTAAATTAAATATCACACTTAGTGACTAAAAACTAAGAATTTACCCAAATGAATACAGTTTTCCCCATATCATTACGGGAGTTTTGTGAGTGGTCTTTATGCTCATGTTTGCAAGTTCTGCCGGAAAGAGTTGGTACATTACTGGACACATTTCCCATATTTCTCTAAGGTGTTAGTGAAAATACAGTCTCCTACATTTCCCATTCATTCATTATTTATTGAAAACCCACGTTGAGAGGATTAAGTGAATGACTGAGCCTAAGCACTTGGAGTAGGGCCTGGCACACAGAAATCACCACAGAAGTATGTTAGCTATAAATTATCACATGCTAGACTCTGTTTAAGACACAGGCCTTTTCCAGCTCTAGAATTCCTGTAGCTGGAATCTCCAACTAGATGCCAGTGGGTTACTGAGTTACTCCCAGAAAGGGCTTTAGACCAAAGTCGCCTAGTCACAGACACTATTCTCATACCCATTTCAGAACTCTAGTTGTATTTCAAAAGCAGTTCACATTTTCTTTCTCTCACACACCATCTTTCTTTTACTACTGATCTTTGCAGATCCCACTAGTTCTGACACTCTGAGCTGTTCCTATGTACAACTTGAAAAGGCAGAACTATTATTTAGTAGCTCATTTAAAAATCCACTTTATAATATGGTCAACTTTTATTTCTCTAAATCATAATATTTCTTTAAGAACACCAGAAAAAGTAAACACTCAGACTCCTGAGTACTACTCATCGTAAGTAATTTATGCCTCCCTTATGCCCCCTTAAGATATGCTCTAGATCAAGTACTTGTCCTTGAGGGCTTCACCCATCAGTGTTCCACAAAGCAAAGAGCAAGACTTTCGCACAACATACAATTTCTTTTGTTCATAAATATATATAAAGGCAAGAAACAGTTTTGCCAAA